AATGTAGGACACTGCCCTCTCACTTCCCTTTCACTTTAACTAGTGGCTTCACCCCTGTGATGCTCTCACAGGTCAGAGAGCATGGCAGCCATCTTAAAGCGGCACTGTCAAGCTGAACTTACCTTTCTTTAATCGATTCCTCTTCTCTCCCTCTGTCAGGATCTTTTCTTCATTTCTTCCTATCTGCTCTAGTTTTCTTTAAAACATAAGACAAAGTAGGGACTACTTTGTCTTATGGAGGTTTCCTACGATTGACCAGCTTTGATCAGCCAGTGGCTGCTCACTGTTAAAAAAACAAAATACCCTAGTATCCCCCCTACCGAGTCCCCACCCGTGCTGCACGAGTGGGGGCTATTAAACTGAATGGGGGGACCTATTGTGGTGGGTGGCGTGGGGCCTATTGCGGTGGGTGGGGCCCTAAATGACAATGGGGGGGAACTATTGTCCTCATCCCCCGGTCTCCACACATGAGCGGCAGGTGGGGGCCCTAAATGAAAAATGTGGGGGGGGGGGACCTACTGTCCTCCCCCCCCAGCCCAAACCCTGAATGGTGGGTTGGGGCCCTAGATAACAATAAGGGGGAACCTATTGTCCTCCATACTGGCCCCAACTCCTGAGCGGTGGTTGGGGGCCCTATAAAACAATAAGGGGGGACCTATTGTCTTCCTCTCCCCCCGGCTCCCCCCTTTGAGCGGCGAGTGGGGGCCCTAAATAACAATAAAGGGGGACCTATTGTCCTCCCCCTGGTCCCCACCCATGAGTGGCAGGTGTGGGCCCTAAATTAAAATGTGGGGGAGAAACCTAGGGTCCTCCCCCCTGCCCCCACCCATGGGCGACAGGTGGGGGCTAAGTGTAAATATCCCCCTCCAGGTGACAAGGGGTCCCCATTTAATAAAGACCTACCTACCCCCCTCACTATTTATAGGGTGAGGGGGTAGGTCTTTATTAAATGGGATAAAATTAAATCCCTGTAAATAAAAATAACTTCCCATTTGAGGTCTTCTTTTTTCTAAAATCTTCTTTTTTCAGCCCCAAAAAAGGCCAAATAAAAATCCATAATACCCGTCGAACTTTGAAAATAAAATAAAAAACCCAAGCGCAAAAATTTTTATCTGACGGGGAAAAAAAAACCCTGACACTAAAAAAGTAATCCATCTTCACCCATGGAGGGCACCACACAGACTGAGCTCCACAGGGTGGGGAAAGGCTTATAAAAGCCTTCCCACGTCCCGCAATTAGGCTCAGAGTGCTCTGAGTGGTTGGTTTAAGCCAACCAATCAGAGTGCTCTGACAGGTAAATGAAGATACCGAGAGGTAAGTCTCTACATTTACCTGTCACAGCACTCTTGTTGGCTTGAAATCCAACCAGAGTGCTCTGTGTCATTTTACACAGCGTGGGAAAGTTCTTTGGAATTTTCTCATGCTGTGTAATTTGACTCATAGTAACACTCTGGTTGCTTTCAATCAACCAATCACAGTGTTATGAGTCAAATTACACAGCATGGGAAAATTCCAAAGAACTTTCTCTTCATTTACCTGTAAGAGCACTCTGGTTGGCTTGGAATAAACCAACTAGAGTGCTCTAAGCCTAATTGCAGGGGCACGGGTAAGCTTTATGAGCCTTTCACTGCCCTTCAGAGCTCAGTCAGCACTGTGCCCTCCATCAGGTTTTTTTTTTTTTGCACTCTGGTTTTTTTAAGTTCAACAGGTATTATGGATTTTTATTTGGCCTTTTTGGGGGCTAAAAAAGGAAGATTTTAGAAAAAAGAAAACATCAAATGGTAAGTTATTTTTATTTAAGGGATTTAGTTTTATTTCCACCCTCACTATTTTTAGGGTGAGGGGGGTAGATCTTTATTAAAAAATAATTGGGTGGGGGGGTGACTAGGGGCTTGGGGACCCCTAGTCACCTGGGGCGAGGGTATTTACTCTTAGCCCCCACCCATTGCCCATGGATGGGGGCGGCGGGTAGGACAATAGGTCCTCCCCATTTTCATTTAGGGCCCCCACAAACCGCTGAGGGGTGAGGGCCGGGAGGAGGACACTAGGTCCACCCCCCCATTTTCATTTAGGGCCCCCATGTGCCGCTCATCAAGGCAAATCAGAAAAATATAATTGATTAATGAATTTCAAATGATTGCCTTTGTTTTTCCATGACCTCCCCAATACATTAAGCTTAATAAATAACATCAATCATGGTTACTCTTTGGACCAACGTTTGGTCAAATTATGTCAACTTATAGTTATTATTATTATTTTTTAACAAAAATGTACCATATTATTGTAGATCTCATTCCATTAAATTATGCACACGATGACATCTTTCCAAACAAAGTAGCTATGTGTAAGCATAGTGTGCTACATTCAGCAGGCGGACTACACAGTTACAATTTTTCACATTAGGTAAGAAGCAATTTCCTTCCTTCTTAAACCATAACATAAGACGTTTCTGTTAAGCAGTGTTTAGACATTTCAGTGTGTAATGGCATTCCATTCATTGCATATTTTTGTCTTGACAAAAAGGCCAGGGTGGCTGGAACTTTGACGACACTGGCTGTGCATTGATTGTTTTGAAATATATATTTTTGCACATGTCCTGTGAGTGCGCTCATTGTTGGATAAATAAATGAGTTGCAGAAACTAATGGTAAATGTCAGAAAAAACACATGTTGCACATGTAATGATTATCAGGAATGCAGATGGTGCAGAGAGGCAGAGCAACTAATAATGTCAAGATTTGGGGCATATTGAAAAAAAAAAACAATTTTCTGATATGCTTGGGCTGCTCTAATGGGATTTCTGACATTACATATTAACTTTACATTGGTCCATCAATCCCTATATACCCTGAAAATTAGGTCTGCATATTGCCCTATCTTTTAGGTCTGTGGCCGTGTAAAAGTCAGGGCTGTCAAGTCAGAATTTAAAGTATTTGTTGTTTCCAAACTACATGTATGTATAAGCTAATGGTGTTGAACAAGGAATGGAAATTCAATGCGTCATGTCTTGAGTACATGGGCAAAAGTGGGCAGAGTCAAATTTAGTGAGTAGAGTTTAAGGCTCCACAATCTTGAACCCTCACCAGTTGCCACTGATAAATTTACATTCACTGCTTTATAAGCTGTGACCCTTTTAAGATGAACCAATTCTAACATTCACATTACAAGATTTAATTTGGTTAGTTTGGGATAAAACCTCATGCACATTCTTAAGATACATTAAATTTTATTGCATGTTATAAGTCTTCATCAGTGGTGGAACTAATGAATAGAGAGTCAAGAATTTACAATAAAGATACTGATATGAAAAAAACAATCTTCAACTCGTTCTAGTAATACCTCATATATGCTAGCTTGCTTTTTGCAACTTGATTCACCACAATGCATTGCTTAGTGAATAAACAATTCTGATATGTGTAAAGGTAGAATTAGACCAAAGCAGATCTCAAGTAAAAGTTAATTGCATTGGCCTTTTTATCAAACTATATATTAATGAAAAAAAATCAGCCAACGGCAAAAAGGATCAATGCAACCTATACACTGGGCAGGTGCTGGTAACCCAGAATTGTCCATCCATTTTAATTGTTGTTCCTTTCATGTTGGAGGAATCAGATAAGTCCAGCAATAGGGAGAGATGGACCCAAAAGATGGGATGCCTTTTGAAATGCATTGAGTGATATACTCAGCCAGATCGGATTACAGGCCTAGGGGACACATACTACCTAATTGCAGAGCAGTGCATTGAATGATTTTGTATATCTGCAATGATTTGCTTCGCTGATCTTTTACATGAAATAGAGCTTACTGCTCCTAATAAAACTAAACTTACAACAATGACAGGAAAACCATCCAGACAGTTGTCATGACCTTTCCAAACGATGTCCTTGCTGAAATGATAACCTCACACTGCGGTGGTAGGGCTATGTTGTAATAGCTACAGCCCATATATTTCAAGATGTAACTGTGACTTTTAGAAACATAGAAACATAGAATGTGACGGCAGATAAGAACCATTCAGTCCATCTAGTCTGCCCAATTTTCTAAGTATTTTTATTAGTCCCTGGCCTTAGCTTATAGTTAGGATAGCCTTATGCCTATCCCACGCATGCTTAAACTCCTTTACTGTGTTAACCTCTACCACTTCGGCTGGAAGGCTATTCCATGCATTTTGTATTAGATGATATGACTGTTGGCCATTATGGCAACCTAGGCAAATGTCTAATTTCCCATGTATGCCCACATCCTATGATGATCCTGGAAACCTGCTGTACTTCATTGGCAGCACCACCACTGATCATGACTTAATGAGCAGAAAAAGGACCAGGAAGCCTTCTCTGCTTAGTGCTCAAAATATATTTAATTAAGTGATGCTTTAAAGTGACAAGCCACTGCTTTGCACACAGTGTGGTGAGTGACAATGCAAGGAAAGCAGTCATAAACAAACCAATGGCTTGAGAGGTAAAGGAGTATTCAGGAAGGCAGACTATACTCAAGGTTTATCTAATTTATTCAAAGGATAACTGTAAAACTTCCTACTGATCATGTAAATGATAAAGTAATTCGGATTTAGACAGGTTGGAAGACATGAACAGTATTTAAAATCGATTAAAATGTTTTGGGCCCTGGCAATTGGAGAAACCAGGTAAATGCTAGGTGGTCAGGGTGACAGTGGAAGTTAAAGGATTCCTCCACCTAGCCCATTCATGGCTGATGCTACCCAGAGCTCGTCCAAAGAGAAGGTTCTGCTTTCAGTGGGGCGATCAAAAATCCTCCTCACTGCCAAGCCCACTATTATAAAGCAGGGCCATGGAGCATGCCGCTGCTCTGCATTTAAATACCCAGGCTGAATTGTTGTCCCAGTCAAGCCCTGTATATAACACATTCCAACTCTGCTTTTGTCATATACCGTATCTATACTCGAGTATAAGACAAGGTTTTCAGCAAATTTTTTGTGCTGAAAAACCCCCACTCGTCTTATACTCAAGTCAATGTCTGTATTATGGCAACTTACATTGCCATAATACAGACCAGGACCACCGGGCTTGTAATGAGCCTGGAGTTCCTGGTCTGTATTATGGCAATGTAAGTTGCCATAATACAGACATTGACTTGTGACATTGACTCGAGTATAATGTATGTCACAAGTCAATGTCTGTATTATGGCAACTTACATTGCCATAATACAGACCAGGACTTCCGGGCTCATTACAAGCCCGACGGTCCTGGTCTGTATTATGGCAATGTAAGTTGCCATAATACAGACATTGACTCGAGTATAAGACGAGTGGGGGTTTTTCAGCACAAAAAATGTGCGGAAAAACTCGACTTATACTCGAGTATATACGGGGGCTGTTGGGGGCTGGGAGCAAGCTGTTACTTACCTTTACAGCAGCTCTGTTCAGCTCCCTTATCCTCCGTGCCGTTCAGCTCCGTGTGTAAATCTCGCGAGAGCCGCAGCGTCTGAGTGTTGCCACATGTTACCGTGGCAACGCTCCGTGTCGCACGCAGACTGCGAGACTTACACTGGAGCTGAACGGCAGGAGGAGAAGGGAGCTGAACGGAGCTGCTGCAAAGGTAAGTAACAGCTTGCTCCCAGCCCCCGTCCTGCACAGCACATTCACTGGACCACAAGGGAATAATATAGCCCCCCTCCCTGGCCATGTATCAAGCAGTGAGGGGGGACAAAAAAATGAAATACAAATGTAAATAATATTATAATAAAAAAAAATTAATAATATTAAAATAATAATACAATAAATAAATAATACAAATGCCCACCCCCCACCAATGTTACACACTCTGCATTATATACACACACTGCATTCATACACACACACACTGCATTATATACACACACTGCATTCATACACACACACACTGCATTATACACACACACTGCATTCATTATATACACACACTACACAAACACACACACACACACACACACTTTGCATTCATTATATACACACACTGTAAATAAATATTCAATTAATATAAGTTTTTGGGTATCTAATTTTATTTAGAAATTTACCAGTAGCTGCTGCATTTCCCACCCTAGTCTTATACTCGAGTCAATAAGTTTTCCCAGTTTTGGGGGGTAAAATTAGGGGCCTCGACTTATATTCGGGTCAACTTATACTCAAATATATACGGTTTATATTGTGAGCGAAAAAGTGGAATAGTGGTTGATGGAAGATATATCAAGCCTGATTTGCTAAACAGCAACCAGAGAATTTTCAGTTAAATGCCCCAGGGAGAGATGTTAAAGTTTGCAATATACATTGCTGATGCTCTGCAAAACATGATATGGGTCCCTGGGGCAGAGCATTTGGAGAGCAGGGTGGGCCAATGCTCCAACAGCACTAGTTGCTGTGTAACAGACCAGAATTTGGATTTAAAGGAAGACTATAGTCACCTAAATTACTTTAGCTAAATAAAGCAGTTTTAGTGTATAGATCATTCCCCTGCAATTTCACTGCTTAATTCACTGGCATTTAGGAGTTAAATCACTTTGTTTCTGTTTATGCAGCCCTAGCCACACCTCCCCTGGCTATGATTGAAGAGATCAGCCTGCTGCAGAGTGAGGGAGAAAAAGCGTGAGAGACAACAACAACAACAATTATTGTGTTTATTGCAAATCTATTTTGTTTTGGGGGTTTTTTTTGGGAAAATTGGTAAGTGGGAAAGCCACCCAATTACAGATAGTAATTTCTGTCTAGTAAGAGCAAGACATTTTGTTTTGTTTATTATTATTTAAAGCACCTGTTTTTCCTATAAAATAAAAACCGAACTAAATGTGTCCTGGACTTTGTATACCCTAGAAGGCTGTGGTTACTGTAAGATCTGTGACAAAATCCTACCTGTAAAGAGGTGGTTTGTTACAACATATACAAACAACCACACAATAAATGCACTTATCTTTCTGTTATATACAGCTTTCATCAAGGGGTATCCCAGCAAATGCCCCCTTATAAAACAGCCGCAATATAAAACACAAGGGGAATACAGCTGATTGTATCTGCAAAATAAATTATAATAAAATTAGTGTAATACGATTACAGAGAGAGCATGGTAGAAAGACTAGTAGCTTCTGTTAATAGGAGAACTTATAATTTATTTTGATCTTTCTATTATATAAAGCATTTTCTAGTTTATAAATAAAATATAAACATATCTGATAATATTTATATACAACCACATTTAGCACTTTGTTTTTACATTTATTTTAATTACAAGTGTGAAATAAAAGGGCTTCTTATGCAATTGACTCATAACATAAACACATTCACATTCCCATTTATTTATTATCCCAATTACTTAATTGTATTAATTTAAGTTTAATTTCCTTTGCTTTATGGAGAACATATAGAAATTGCAAAGTGGGAATGCAAACCGAAAGTTCAAAATAGAGTGCAATGCATTGTCGGATGGGGATTGGAACACAAACATCAGACGAGGGATCACGCTGGAAGTGACCTTGTGAACAAATGAAAATGGTCCTCAGCTGTCAATAATTCGCTCAGCAAATACAAAGAGGAATTGGAGCCAGCTGATGTGGCGAAAGTAACCTCGCCACTGGTTTTTGAAGGGACCTGTTTGCCAGCCTCCTTCCCTGGGACCATGGGCCCTGTGATAACCCATGTTCAAAAGTACTGTTTCTGCCCCTTGGACTTTTAACTGGAACAGATTCAAACGTGTGGCGGCGGCCATCTTAAATTGTCCAGAAGTGTTCTGTCGCCGAGTGTATGGAACTGTTTTGGGCATTGGACCATGTGCACGGTGGGGCAAAAATAAGACTTCCAGGAAATTCCTGAACCCCTGAACCGATCTGGTTGATTTATGGATATGTTGTTCACCCAGGTCGGGGCTATCAGGGGATGACTGATTGTGGGGATATGTTGTATTTTGGGGTACTTTTTGGGGTTTGTAAAAATGTATGTTTTTTTCTGCTTAGAGTTAATTGAGTTAGTCCATTATCTTCGGTAATTATATCACAGGCAGAGGGGAGGGATTGTGTAAACTGTATGGGAGTGACTGAATGTAAAACTATGTTTTTATTGGCTTGTTGTTCCTGTGTACCTGTGCCCCACAAGGTCCACCTGGGTGGTAACCTTGTGGGAAAAACTGTATAAAAGACCAAGCTTCAATAAACCCTCAGATCTGCTGAGTTCCTGTTTTACCCTCAACATAGAGGGTACTTTGGGTATTTCATTTTGGAATCTATTTTATTTGTGACCCGGAAGTAGTCCCATGTTGGGACAAAACATGTGAGTGCAGTGTTCAAACTCATTTTAATCATATTACACTATGCTATTATCTGCTTTTTTCATCTGATATTTTGTATACATTTTGCTGTTTTCTTGTCCCAATGGCTGTTGTTTCAGTGCTTACATGACCTAGAGATTGGCAGGAATTTAGAGGGTTACGCTAAACACCATGACCACTTCAATGGTCGTAAAAGAAGAAGTCCAAGCTGGTTATATAGAGGAACAGATGGATTAGATCACTGGGGAGGGATTTGTTCCATATTAACTGTTTTCTCTTGTAACTTCAGTAAACTACTGTACGGCACCAAGGCTAAGTTTTATTACATCTTGTTTTTCAGTTTAATGCCACTAGATGGCAGTGTTAGTACATAGTATTCTGATAGCATTAAGGGCTGGGTAAAATAGTATATAAAAACTACAGGGTTATTTAATAAAGTGTGAATTTAAACATTAGATTTCAAATTTTAGACCAAAATTGACCAAATGGAAAGATAGCAGACTTGGAAAATGTTTCTAGTTTAGCTATTTTGGATCACCATTAAGAAGTGTGCATTGTCGTTAATTAAAAATTAATTTTAAATTTGGGCCCAAAGAGTCAACAAAGTTAGCTCTGTTTTCAGTTTCATTATTTTGTTTCAAAATGTAAAATTCCCTTTGAATTCATGACAATTCATACGTTGGTACATTGCTGGAATCCTATTTAATTCCCATCAGTTTACACTTTACGTAATAACCCTGAAAATGAAACTAGCTCTGTCTGCGTATTTCTGTGTGACTGTCAGAAGGGTTATTTGTTATTTCATTTTAATGCTAAATGAAGCGCCACCTGTGATCACAAGGACAACACAAACAAAATAAAAACAATTCACAATACAACACATGATGAATGAGTAACTGCATTGTGAAAACACAAGATGCATCAAAAATTTAGATATATATGTACTTGACCTTGTACGTAACACATTCCAGTTCTTGAATGCAACGGCTTTATGCTTGTGTATCTTTGTAATATATAAATATAATTTAATATTACTAATACATTTCTTCCATTTGAAGTTTTATTGATTTTTTTTTTTTTTTAAATCGTAATGGTATACAGAAAAGAAAAAGGGGAATGGGGGAAGGGAGAGGGAGGGAAAAGGAATAGATGGTTTGCACCAGCAGATAACAGCAATATCAAGAATTCACAACCGGCTCAAAAGGTATCTTGCGGTACAGTTTGCATAATGCAATGTGGTAACATAAAACTATTTGCATAATACCAATGTTTCTGTATGAGTCAGTTTGTCTAGTACTAAACAGGAGTAAAGGCTTAGGTAACAGGCGAGGTTATAATTTAATAGATGCAGGTGACTCCATGTAGGCCCAAACGTCAAGGTACATGGTGCGACAGCAGTGGCATACATACCGGGGTCTCAGGGGTCGCGGCTGCGACCGGGCCCGGCCGCCCTGCGACCCGGTATGCATGCCATTGTGGCCACATTTTTCCAGCCTCTTCTCCTGGGGGGCCCAGGAGCTGGCCACCTCAGGGCCCCCCGAGGCTGGCAGTAGCTTCAGTTTGCCGGCGGCCGGCCGGGCTGCTGGGCGTGCGCGCGAGGGAGCACTCTCCCCTAAGTGTCATATTCCGGCTCTGTCATCAGTAAGCAGCGAGAGGGAGCTGGGCAGAGAGTGCTCAGGGGAGAGAGCTCCCACGCGCGCCCGCCCTGCCCGCCCAGCAGGACCCCACTGGACCCCAGGGACAGCAGGACCCCACTGGTCCCCAGGGACAGCAGGAATCCCCACAGCACTCCCAAAGAAAGGGAGGCTGGGGGATTAAATA